GGACACCCGTCTTCAACAAAACAACCTTGTCACTGGAACTGAAGTGAATGCACAGTTTGAAAATACTTTATATCAGAGTATTTCACTAAAAATGAGGAAGCATATCAGTATTTTATTAGCAGTGTACTTCCCCCCCCACCTGTAACAAAAGACAAATACATAGTGTGTGTCAGTAGTCAAAAACCTAATTACCTTGTTTCAGCAAATACCCAGACTAGGGGACCCATCCACCCACCGCTGTAATAGTACGGTGAATCCGAGCTCTCGCTTTGACTGGCATGTTCACACAACGTAATTTGTCTTCAGCATCTGTTTGTTGCCTTTGGAGTGAGTTGCCGTGTTTCAAAAATTCCCTTCCTGCTGTGGAGATCGTTAGCTATTTTAGGAAAGCCAAAGTAATGGGCAGTAGTGTTGCTTGACATCTTGACTATTACACTTAATTGCTGTGTAGGCAGCTGCAGCAATTGGGCTTTTGATATCTTAGTTGCTAGGAGGGGGAGAGAATGAAGAGAGCAGTAAGCAGGCAGATGCTGGTTTTATTTTCTTTACTTTCTGATGAACCCACCTGTTTTTACAGTCCAATATTGCATCTTCCCTGCTGCTCTTCCCTACTTAGCAGGTTAAAATTACCCAAAAGTTTTCCTCTATTTCCTCTGACATTTTAGTGGGCTGAAACTCTTGAGCCTACTTTAGTAGGCTCGTTACAGCATTGTGCCTAGCAGGGTAGGACCCTTGTGTTGAGGGTGGTGCTGGAAAGAAGACCAAAGAGTTGGAACTAAAAGGTGACAGGAAAACCACAAGATCTAGCGCTGACTTTCCTGTAGGAGTCAACTTTTTGTTTTCTGCCTTAAGCATTCCCATAAGAATAACTGGATTTTGAAGTGTGTGATTCAGACAGTATTTGGGAATGATACCCTTTTGAATGATGTCACTTTCAGTCTTAAGACTAGGGAGTGGTCTTCTAAGTTTCTGCTAAGTGTGGGATATGCACCTAGCTGGGGTATGGGGGAAGGTAGAGGATTATTTACTTCTACAAAATATTTTAAGCCTTTTTATAGCAGATAGTTGTTAGCTAGGTGAATTTGGCAAAGCTGTCCAAAGTGAGTACTAAGTTGATGGCAAAGAATAAGGGACTCAAAAGCCTCTCGGTTTATAGAGGCTTCTGCAGTGTATCAAGTGATGTGCTTGAGTGAGTGTATGTAATGGGATGCATGGGTTAACTCTGCCACTCGTTCACTAAGCTGTAGATCTGCAAGCCTGAGTGCTGTGGCGGGACTGTGGGCAGGTCCTTGTGTACCTGCTGGGACTGGCAGACTTCAGTGGGATTTGGCTAGCCCTGCTTCAGTGGGCAGCAGTGGCAGTTTAACCTATAAGGGATGACTTCTCTTTGTCCCCATTGCTTACTTAGCAATGTGCTCTTCTCTCTTGGCGGTGTATTTCTCCTCATTTGTTCACTGTGTGTATGTGTACATCTGGATGCATCGTGTATATGAACAGGGAGATGCCAGTAAACCTCAGCATGAGAGCAGATTGTCTATACTTTAACTGCTGAAAAAGAAGGAAGGCGAACCTGTTGTGATAAAATAGTATTACTGCTCTCAATTATTATAAAAACCCTCAAAAGTGATTGACTCTTTTAAAGATTTCCATTATAGCACTAGAATAAGCTGTTAATTCAAGTATGAATGTGTGTATGTCTGCTTTCTTCTAACACATCATACATACCATGTTTTGTAATGATGGATTGCTTTCTTTACATATTCTTTCAGGAGCTGATTTCTCCAGTTACCTTATTCCAGAGCCATAACGCTGGCAATTTCTACCTAAAAATTACTTTGATGGTTGTTGATTATTGATCAAGTAACGTATCTTGCTTGTCGTCAGACTCCAGCCAGAGCAGGCTATAATTCCTTGAGTGACAGCTGCCCAAACCTGTGCTACAAGTCTGTGGCAATGTAGGAGTTGCTTATGTGAAAGCAGTTGCTTGATAGAGCTGCATATACCAGCCTCTGTGCTGCTTAGCCGAGAGCGGCAGGAACCACTGGTACCAGGTTGTTCCCTTCAAAACCACATGCCCAGTGGACCAGCAGGAATATCTCTGGTGTGCATTCAGTAGAAGAGCTGATAAGAAGGTGAAAGAGAGGAAAAATAAGAGGGAGGACAGATAGACAAAATATAACTAGTTATGTAGAAGTAGAACAAGAAAGATGGGAAGTAAAAATATGGAAAGTAAGGCAAGATCAGTGTAAGGACCTGTACTGTGGAAGCACTAGTGCAAATACTGGTGCTGAAAATGAGATGTTAAAGAAAATGCATCACCTCTGGTGAGGAGTGGGGAAGGAAAGAAGCAGATTGCATAAAGGAAGGCTCATGAACCCTAGCAATATGATTGTGAGGAGCTACATAGGAACTATTGTTCTGCTATTTCTCACATCTTTTTTTAATCCCGATTTGTCCACTTGCAAGCCAGTCCTTACACTTCAGTTCTGCAAATATCTAAGGAATAATGGATACAGGAGGGGAATGTGTTCAGTGGAGTTCATGTGTTTGAGACTATTAGAAAAATAAGTCAGTATTTGGTACCTTTTAATGTAGGTAATTACAAAGCTTGATGTGGAATAGCACTAGTTGTTTTATAACCAAGATAACTTTAAGCCTTGTTTTGGTGTCCTAAAATCCCCAAATCCAGAAATCTCAGAAGAGCACTCGGCAGACTAGGAAGCTTGGAGGGCCTCAAACTTAAATCATAGGATTATGCATGCCCCTGAAACTTCTGTCTCGCCTTTCAGTAAAGATGTTTCATGCTTTTGGAAAGATTGTGTGCAGCCATAAATGTGGTGGGAACTTGGGGATATCCTAAGTAAGCTTAATGAGACTGGTTTTATTTTCTATTCTCCCTAGAAATTCTAGGAAGAATTTCTTCCTTGTATATTGCTCAGTTGCATGGTGACTGATACTTCCACTACTCCTTTCTCATTCCTCAACTAACTTTGGAGGTTTGTACTCTCTTAGCCAAAATCCTCTTCAAGTGGGGTGAACCAGCACATTTTTCTAGGCTGGGGGTATGCGAATTACATTAGTTACTGCTGAATGGTGATAACCAACAGCTGAATCACATCTGTGCACCAGCTAAAGAAAAGTCTTATCTTCAGTAGTGGTAGAGATTTTATAAGACTTTCTGATGGCGTGCTTCTAATAGGGTGATAATGTTTGTCCTCTGCATCCAGAAAACTTGATTATGTGGTCTCGAATCCTCTACAGAAATCAAGTACTTGCATGTTTATGCTTGTTTTACCCGTTTTCTTGCTGTTGCTCTTAGTGACTAAGTACTTAATCAAAGTTATTTAGATAAATAGTACTTGCCAGTGGCAGTGAAAATGTTTGTGCTTCTCAACTTTAGGTTGTCACAAGAAGGAATTTGAGTCTTTAGACTCAGTGTTCCTCTGCAGCTTCCTACTTACTATGTCAGCTGACATCTTGACACACTTACCTGGCAGGGAAAATTCTACCTGATGCTTCATGATGCCAGAATCTTCTGGTTTTTGCCATCTCCTGGGGGAGACACCCTCTTCCACCTCCATTAAAATGGCTTGCTTTCCCTGTTTGCCTCATTGTGCTCTTCACTTAGTTACTGTTGACCACGTGCCTTCTCAGTACCCTCTTTCCTCTTCTGCTTCCAGTTCCTGCGTAGAAGGAAGAATGTCATCTGTCTGCAGTTGCAAAGAAAAGCATGGTTTCCTTGCTGAGGGATGGAGCAGCTTATAGTGATAACCTGTCTTTGAGCATCTGAGCCTCTGGTAGTCATCTGCTTGGGTTATGGCAGAGGCATGAATGGTTCAGCTTATTTGCCAGGGAAGAGTGGGCCAGTTCCTCAGTGGTGCTGAGCAGCAACTGTACTTCTGCTCTCTTCAGAGAACCCGGATAACATCTGTCACCTGTGTAAACAGCCAATTCTTTGGGCTGACAAGGAGAAAAGGAAGTACTTATGACATATTTTCTTTAAAGTAATAGTCAGTTTAACAAGCTGATGGACTAGTCTTTCTTGAGACCAGAGTAAGATGGCTACAGTATGTCTATGTAGGCATGGAGAATATAGTCTTTCTTTCTGTTATCTCTTTATTTTAACAAATAAAAAGGAACTTTCTATCTGTCAACACACACCCCCTGCCCAGTTCACCTTTAGGTGTTTGAAGTTTTTGGAAGAATGGTAGAAGCAAATAAATCCACTATTCCTGAGAGAGTGCTGTGGACTGACTCATGGGGAAAGAAACCATCCAAACGTGAATGCCAGAGGCAGTGGCATGAAGTGGCTTGCCGATGCACTGCTAGTGGTGTAGGTTTCAGGAAATACGCCATCTTCCTCTTGCTTTGCAGTTTAGCAGTACTGTAGCTTCTGTTGTGTTTACAGAGTACTGAATGAGCCCCGCAATAAACCGGCATCCTCTTTCTTCTGCCCTTCCCCCCCACTTTGTTTATGACTTGGTGGGAGACCTAAATAGTTGTATACACTTGGGATGGGGAGGAAGAATGGTTAAAAACAAAACAACTGAATTGATAAACTACTCTTATCAGTCACAGTGCCCTTCAGCTTCTTTTGGCTTTACAGTACTCCAGTTACTGCTTCTGTAATAGTGCACAGTAGCATTATATTTCTGATGAGCAAATGCAGTGTAGTTCTCTGTTTCTTCTGCTGAACTGCATGCTGTGAGGTTACTTATTTCTCTCGTGTCTCCTTCAGCAGTCCTTTAGAAAAGAATCAAGAAGAATGTCTTGTGGAGCAAGCTTCTTTTTCTGATGCTGCAGTAAAGTGAAGACCAGAACGGAAGCAATGCCTGAAACCCCAGTTATATGTTGATAACAACTTCTTTGAGTGACTGACTTGAACCTTGCACCTCAAATTGGACTTTTATGGTAGTGATAATTTATAGTTGCCTCTGCAGCACCTGTGTTCTCCAAGGCCAGCAGACGTCTCAGTGCAGTACCACCATGGGGCAGCAGAGCACGTGTGGCAAACAGGTTAGTCAGGTGGTTGCTGGTTCAGGTAATTTGTAAATGTGGTACTTTTCTACTTTAGCCCGTTGAGCTGCTGGGAATGCCAGTCCAGATTTTAACTCAAGTTATTTATTAGATGCTACAGGTCAACTTCTGCCTCTGAGCTTTCCTGCTTCCTGTGACATACCGTGTTTGTCTCAGGTGGGATTCCTGCTTGGCTCCTCTGCCCCAGCTCCTGGCTTACAAGGGAAAGTCTTGAAACTGCAGTCCTGGATGTTTAGGGCTTTGTTTAGCAACTGGCAAGGATAGCCCCCACTTCCTCAAGGACATGTACTGCATAAGGATAAGTTGCTTTGTATAAGTTATTCCACGAAGAACACTTGTGCTCCCTTTTTTGTGTTCTAGACTGCTGCAGTAAATGGAGCAAAGCTTTTTCCTCTTCATTTTTTTTTTTTTTCCTGAGACATAGGTAGCACCAGACAACCCTGTGTGTACTGATCTGTGGGCAGGTAGGAACTCACTTGCATGTCTGTAGCAGGTAGCCTGCAGTGTGAGCAGGCCAGACAACAGACTCAAGGGGTTGAATATTCTACAGGCCTGCTTAAGGCATGAGACTTTTTTTTTTCTTTTGGGAGAGAAATTGTTAGTATTTTTCATGTAAGTGTTGAGCCTGGCAATCTGGGTATATTGCTTCAATGCAAGTGAGTTTTTCAGTATGTAAAGTGCTACTGGTATGAGTTAACATACCCCTGCTTGAAGAAGGTGGAGAAGAAAAATCTATAAAAGAACCTCAAAACTACTTTAAGTCTGTGAACAAAGTTAAGTATGTACTTTATTTGCTAACAAACAATAGTAGACGCTTCTGTATGATATGTGGGTGTCTGCATCCTCAAATTAACCCTTAAAGCGTTGGTCATTAGGACTGACTCTTTAAGAGAAAAGGGAAGTCAGCTGAGAAACTGCCCATCTGCTGAAAGAGAAATAGACTGAGCAGAAAACAACAGTTGATTTAGGGCTGGAGCAGTTTTGATTCTGGCATATTTAAAGACCCGTCTTATTAGAGCAGCACTGTGGAGAAAGTTTTCCTTTAAAACAATCATACAAACTTCTAAAAATCTCACCCCAAATCTGCTTCACATTATCTAATATCTCTTCAGGGAATTGTTTGAGACTTTTCTTAAAGGACAGGCTGCCTGTTGGAGAGACATATGCATTGTTTCACCAAAGCTGTAGCCCTCTATCTTCAGACAGGAGGGAAGCACATTGTTTTGTGTCTTTGATATGATCCAGCCAGAAAACAGCCTTAGGGAGAAAAATTCACAGTCCTTTAGCAGCAGCGCTGTCTTTCTTTTTTCCTGTCAGTGCCTCAATGTACACTGTTCTAATAACTTGAGATTAAACTCGCATGGGGCATCTCAAAAGTCCTTCTTAAGACTTGAGGTCATAACTTGCTGAAAGTTCAGAGGGATGAGTCTCATTTTCATAATGAAAAAAGTTCCAGGGTTATTTTAGAATTAGGTCTAATAAGAAACTGGTACAAGAAGCTACTTTAGTACAGTAATTTAATGACAGTGCAGCAAGCACTGAGCTGTGTTCAGCTCTGGGGCCCCCAACATAAGAAGGACATGGACCTGCTCGAGCAAGTCCAGAGGAGGAATGTGAAGGTGGTCAAGGGACTGGAGCACCCCCTTTATGAAGGCAGGCTGAGAGAGTTAGGGTTGTTCAGCCCGGAGAAGAGAAGGATCCAGGGAGACCTTCCAGTACCTAAAGGGCGCCTACAGGACAGGTGGGGAGGGACTCTTTACAAGGGCATGTAGTGACAGGACAAGGGCTAACGGCTTTAAACTGACAAGAGGAAAGATTTAGATTAGATAGGAGGAAATTCTTCACTCATAGTGAGACACGCACAGGTTGCCCAGAGCAGCTGTGGCTGCCCCCTCCCTGGCAGTGTTCAAGGCCAGGTTGGACGGGGCTTGGAGCAAGCTGGGCTAGTGGAAGGTGTCCCTGCCCATGGCGGGGGGGGGTTGGAAATAGGTGATCTTTAAGTTCTCTTCCAACCCAAACCATTCTGTGATTCTATGAAACTTGTAGTGGCTACTGAAAACTTTACACATTCCTGCTTAAGCAGGCTGAATCCTGCAAAATTCAGATGTTGATTACAAAGGTGTAGACTGATTATTTCAAATGTGGGTCTGGCTGTGCCTTCCAGTGGAAAATGCTCAAGAAACTTCATGTATTGTTTATTTGGGTTAGAATGAGCCTGTTGTAGTTTGTCCAGTACTCTAATTGAGAAATGTCATAATTTAAGGACAGCTGCATCTTCTACTTGTACACTTTTCAGAGGGATTAAACATGTTTGTAATAATAATACTATGAGCTGGGTACCTGTTGTATCAAATAGATACAGTTTTAATAAGTGTTTTTGTGATGTATGCATATTATTGTGTAGTATAGTTTTGCAAGGTCATCGATTAACTTACAAAGAAGATGTTGGGAAGTGAACTAAAGATGAAGTCTAACATTTTTCGATAACAGAGCAGGACAATAGAAGAGGGAAAATACTGGTTGTTACTGTTTCTTTATCTTGCCCATTATTCTAACTTTCTGTATACTAGCTTTTCTTCTTCCCACTACGTCTGAGTAAGATCTCTTCCTCCTCTTTCCTTTAAAAAATTTATAGTTTTGGTATAATCATTATAATGTAGTTGCATTTGAAAATTTAGGTGATAATAGTAAAAAATCCAATGCTATTCAAGCGTTACTCAGAAATGCTTAAAAATAATAATAGTATATCATGCTTGTATCTGATGACATTATATGATCTGAAGAGTTTATAATTTTGTGTTGGATTAAACTAATAGACCATTTAACTACTGCTGCATTTGCGGGTGGGGATAAATGTGGATTCTTCTATGGAAGAATTTAAAATACATCTGTGGTTTGAGGCTTATGAGCATGATAAATTTAGCACACTGCTGTAATCAGTCCATTTTGTGCCATGTCTCTGTAGTCTCTCATTATTGGCTATAACTCCAGCAGAATGAATATCTGTATTCTCATGTGGGTTTGTGGTGGTGGTGGGGAACCCTTATTATCTTTTTTGATTCTGAACTACGCTTGAAAAACAGCCAGCTCATACAAATAACATGATTGTGAATTTCTCCTTAAGGCTGAAGTTGTGGTTTGCTGTAAGGTATTTTTAAAATTCATCTGCCTTAATGAGAAGTGCACATTCTTACATCAGCACTGTTGCTGCCTTCAGTAATGCACAAAGTAAGGCAGAGGGGGGAGTGTGTGCATTTTCAACCTTTAACTATAGTTTTTATTACGGTCTGAGCATTTGTAATGTTTTTATTTACTTTTTTAAAGTTACTTTTTAAAAGTGAAACAAATATGCTACAGGGTTGCTAAGCAAGAAACCACCAATATACTAGAATATGTTATCTAGGTGTTTGCATTAATCATAGATAAATTAATAGGGAAATGTGAGCTTCAGCATAGTGCCAGAGCACTTCTGCAAATGTGAAAGGGGGAATGCCTGAAGCTGATGCTTGTAAGACTTCTAAGACCGGTAGGCCTTATGGTCAGAAAAAAGATCTGGTGATTTTAATTTTTTTGTGCGTGTCTGTATTAACTTTTACTAGTGGGTGGGAAAGAGGAGTGGAGTCAGACCCTGTTCCTTACTCTTCTATAATAATCTTGAATACTAAAGTTCTGATCTTTAGACTAAACCGGTTCTTTGCCTTGGTCTTCCCTTCCTTGCTGTGCCCATGCAGTGTAGGAAGTAGAAGAATCTGATGTCCAGCACACTCAACCCGTTAGAAGGTTTTTGGTGGGTATAGGTAAATAATACCTCCCAAGGCATAAATGGGAGAGAGGAGTGTCCTATTTCCATGGTGAAGGTAGGAGCCAGTGTGCAGCTGTTCAGTGCCCCTTCATTTCGCCCCTGTCCAGTTGTCTATCAGCAAGTCGTCTTATTCCCTTCTCTCTGAGTGTTTCAGTCCTGCTTGCCTAAATGAGTGCCTGCTTCCTGACATGCTCTGGTAGAGTTGGGTGTGCTAGGGGGGGTTCAGGAGTAGAGCGGCAGGGTACGCTTTGCCATAAAATCTGCCTCCGATGTTAGAGATCCTTTTCATGTGTAGATACAAATAGATTATGCTGGGAACAGCGCTTCCTGGCATCCTAGCAACTGTGACTGCTACCAGAATCTATCCAGTTCTCCCTCCTTCGCCTAGGGTGCTCCTAAAAAATCCTGAAACCACATGGGTGTGGGTATCAAAAAGCACATGGCAGACAAAGACCCTAAAGCTGGATGTCAAGCGTAGTTTTGCTTTTGTCACTTGTTTGAATGAGACTTTTCTTCACTTGGATTATGTGGGATATGCATGAAGAGCTTTCAGATTAAAATGTAACCCTGTGGTCATCTGTACCTGAGACAGATGCAAACTCATTTAAAACCTGTGGAATACCCTTGATTCTTCAGCTGATCTTAAATGTTGGTTTTTGACAGTGTTGTGACTTCACTTTGATTTTTAGCTCTAGCAGCCAGCTGGTGTCTCAAGTGCATGCATGGGATGCAAGGGTCTACCAAGACTTGTGGGGTGCAGTGCTAGAGCAATACAGGAAATGAAGGTTAATGCTCCTTAGTGATTGTTTGGGTTATTTTCCCTAAGATTGCTTGAAAGAGGAAGGCCTGTTTAGTGGCTTGAGAAGTAGACTTGTGAGACTAAAGAAAAATAAAATGTATTTCTGTTCCTTGTCTTGTTGTGGGGAATTGGGTTTATTTATTACTCCAGTATTGTTGCGTCTCTTAAGGTACTTGTAAACATTAAAGTTGTCTTGTAAAAGGCATTACTACTTAGTTCTACAAATATTTAATTACGTGTTTCATGGATTGCATAAATACAGCAGGAAATATAAGGGGGAAAAAGTCTGTGGTGTTCAGTCATTGTTTTACTAGACTTCAAGTTTTTTCTCATTACTTCATGAAATCCTTCTCTAATTCAATCTTTGTCTTTTGTCTTTGCTGCCTTGCAGGGTTGGTACAGTAGGCCTCACTAAACTTAGCTGCAACTAAGAATTTCTCCTACATCAACTGAGTTAAGGCTGATGCTCTTGTGGAATGTGGATTAAAAGTGCGTGCTAAGTTCCAAATTTCCATTTGAGAAGCGGAGAAAGTAAATGTACCACAACCACCAGCATCAGGACAGCAAACCAAGGGACAAAGAATTTGATCCACAGTGTTGATATATGTTAACTGGTTCACGTGTTGCTTAAAAGACGTTTGCTGGGGGGCGAGAAGTGGACGTCAGCTGTGCGAAGTCATTTTGTTTACAAAAATGAGGGCTTCTTTGGAAACAGCAGACATTGCCATTGTGGCACTGTACTTCGTGCTTGTAATGTGCATAGGTTTTTTTGCCATGTGGAAATACAATCGGAGCACCGTAAGTGGCTACTTTTTGGCAGGGCGTTCTATGACCTGGGTAGCTATTGGTGCATCTTTATTTGTGAGCAATATTGGAAGTGAACATTTCATTGGTCTCGCAGGATCTGGAGCGGCGAGTGGATTTGCAGTAGGTGCATGGGAATTCAACGCCTTAATGCTTTTGCAGCTTTTAGGATGGGTCTTCGTCCCAGTCTACATCCGGTCGGGAGTATACACCATGCCCGAATACTTGTCCAAGCGTTTTGGAGGGCATAGAATTCAAATATATTTTGCAGCATTGTCTCTAATTCTTTATATCTTCACCAAACTCTCAGTTGACTTGTATTCAGGGGCACTTTTTATTCAAGAATCGCTAGGTTGGAACCTCTATTTGTCAGTTATCCTCCTTATTGGAATGACTGCACTGTTGACTGTGACTGGAGGTCTTGTGGCTGTCATCTACACAGACACCCTTCAAGCTCTGCTTATGATTATTGGTGCCCTCACACTTATGATCATAAGTATTACGGAGGTTGGTGGGTTTGAAGAAGTTAAAAGAAGGTACATGTTAGCATCGCCAAATATTACGTCTATTTTGTTAACCTACAACATTTCCAATACCAATTCCTGCAATGTCGACCCAAAGCCTGATGCTCTTAAAATGTTGCGCGAGCCAACAGATGAAGATATTCCCTGGCCTGGATTTCTATTGGGACAGACCCCAGCTTCTGTCTGGTACTGGTGTGCTGATCAAGTCATAGTTCAGAGAGTTCTTGCTGCAAAAAACATTGCTCATGCCAAAGGATCCACTCTGATGGCAGGCTTCTTAAAGTTGCTGCCTATGTTCATTATAGTTGTCCCAGGGATGATATCACGAATACTGTTTGCAGATGATATTGCCTGCATTAATCCGGAACACTGTTTTCAAGTCTGCGGGAGCAGAGCTGGATGCTCTAACATTGCCTACCCACGTTTGGTGATGAAACTTGTGCCAGTTGGTCTGCGGGGACTGATGATGGCTGTGATGATCGCTGCACTGATGAGTGACTTGGACTCGATATTCAACAGTGCCAGCACCATATTCACACTTGATGTCTACAAACTCATTCGGAAGAGCGCAACATCTAGAGAACTGATGATTGTAGGAAGAGTCTTTGTTGCGTTCATGGTAGTTATAAGCATTGCCTGGGTCCCGATAATTGTAGAAATGCAAGGTGGTCAGATGTACCTTTATATTCAAGAGGTGGCGGACTACTTGACCCCACCGGTGGCTGCTCTGTTTCTTATGGGTATCTTTTGGAAGCGTTGCAATGAGCAGGGGGCTTTCTATGGTGGAATGGCCGGGTTTGTTCTTGGAGCGATACGGTTGATACTGGCATTTATCTATCGTGCTCCAGAGTGCAACCAGCCGGATACTAGGCCAAGCTTTATCAAAAACATCCATTACATGTATGTTGCAACAGCTCTCTTCTGGATCACCGGGATTGTGACCTTTGTAGTAAGCCTTCTCACGCCTCCGCCTACGAAGGAGCAGGTTCGGACGACCACTTTCTGGGCTGTGAAAAACAGGAGCGTAAAAGAGAGTGCCGCAAAGGGGGAGCTGTACAAAGTGCAAGAAAAGAGCATCCTCAAGTGCAATGAAAACGCTAACCATATCATTCCAAATGGCAAATCGGAAGAAAATATTAAAAATATTAAGCCAGAGGATATCAATCTTCTGGTTACTTGCAGAGATGACAGCAACCCGGTGATTTCTGTGAGTCACTCTGAAGTCGAGACACCAGTTGATTGTTATTCAAACGGACAAGCAGCTTTGATGGGGGAGAAAAAACATGAGGAAGAGACTGATGATAGAGAGAGACATTTGAAATTCATAGATTGGTTCTGTGGCTTTAAAAGTAAAAACATGAACAAGAGAGCTGTTCGGGAGATGGAGGAAGAGACTGTTTGTTTACAAATGTTGGAAGAGACTCCAAAAGTTAAACTATTACTAAATACTGGACTGGTTTGTGTCTGTTCGCTTGGAATATTCATGTTTGTCTATTTCTCTTTGTGAGTGAATAGTGAACTTTTAAGGGTATGGCTAAACATACAGAAGTTGATACAGGTCTCTGGAGATTTTGTTTTGTTGTTTTTTTGTTTTTTCTTTTCAAATAACCACAACCCAGGCATTGTTTACGCTATAATTGTAAGATCAACTCAACTTTAGCCTATTTAGAAACCATCTGAGACATGTTGTCCTATCTCTGCTCAAAGCAGAATGTGTTGTGTGGTGTCTTTTTTTCTTTTTCCCCTTTTGTCTTTTTTTTTTTTCATTTGCAGTACTAACCTGTTTTTCCTTGTATACATATATAAATATACCAAAGGCAGGCAGGTGGCTGTGTTTGAAGTCAGGCAGTTAGAGCTCAGCATTAAGGTGAAGATAACAAGTAATTTACCGATGTGTAAAATCTAAATGATTAAAGCTATGTCAAAAGATTTTTAAATATAGGGTTGCGATGCACATTACTGTTGTCATTCTTTGTAACATAGCTGTATTACCTCGGCCAACTTAGCACTTTTTAAATTTTGCTCACTGCTTCTATTTTTTTTTCAGTTTCTCATTTCTCTTCTGGCAACTACAGGATGATGTTTTGTCTCATCTTGTAGCCCTTAAAAACATGATAGCTGTTAGTAGCCTTCTCTCTTTTTTCTCTGTAAGAAAATGTTTGTCTTTTTGACTTTATCCACTGTAAATTCCATTACTGAAAAGCTGCTGTATTTAAAAAAGGGAAAAAACCCAAACAAACCTTGAAGATGACAAACTGGCAATGGAGGAGAGGGGGAAAAGGGGGGAAAAAATACTCTGTTTTGGGTTTTTTAGTATATTGAAATAGAAGAGTATATATTCAGCCTCTTAGTCTCCAAACCTTTAGGACTAGGGTTAGCCTCTTTTTAGAGAAAAAAATCTGTAGGTTCTACCACGTGGAAAAGAGAAAAGTGTGAAACTGAATGTCTTCAGTTTGGTAAGCACACTGAAAAATAACTTCTCTGCTGTGTACTTCTAGAAGGAAATACTCTGCAGCCCCTGCCATTGCTGCATACTGAGTCTATAAGGGGACAAAAACAAGAAGGAAGACAAGAGGAAGGTGAAGTGGGGGAAAGAGGTCAAAGCGGTCCTTGTTTTCCGGAGTCCTTTTGCCTCATATCTTTTCCCGCTTCCCCTTTCACCCTGTCAAACCTTCTTCTTTAAGGAATGACTCCTGAGGGATTCTGTGTCGAGATAAGGAACGTGTGCAGTCGTAATCTGTGTCGGCAATTGAGGTCTGCCCTTACAGTTCTTCAAAAAAAGTGAAACTTTTCCCAGGCAATCATAGACAATCATTAGGTCTCAAGATGCTGAGGTTCTTTTTCTCACGAAGGATGAATGCCTGAGGCAGGGATGAACAGTTTCCAGGTGTGGAGGACATCTGTGTGCAGCAGGTTGGTGGAGCTCAGCAGACCAGAAGTTTGCAGAACTTGGTCTGCTTCCCCCCTTGGCAAAGCAGGAGTACATGTTGCCATCTGAGTGCTCTTGTCCTTACCTAAACCAAGTCAGGGCCTGTTTCCAGGTGCAGAGGCCAGCTGACAATATGTGGCTGAGCTCGTAGCATTAAACTCCCTTACCCTCCAGGACAGAGTGGTTATATCCAGGCTTCCTCTGAAAATAATTTCTCCAGTTATCTTTATTCCCAGGCTTGTCTCAGGACTTGTTTGGGTAAGCACCAACCAGTTAGGTATGAGGGACCATGCTGACAGTTCAGCAGCATCAATTCAAGGGTCCAACAATGTGTCCTTGGCACATAAACAAGAACCAATCCCTATGGGGTGAAATAGCTCTCTAGAGATGAAATTTGGGTTAATCCTGCCTTTGACTGCTGAAGAAAGTTTGCTTTCCAGTACAGTGGTGCCATAAGCTGCAGGCTGTCCAAATGGCTTTTAGTAGTATGATGTATAATACATATTTTCAGATAAAATTAAAAACTTCCATTTTTCTGGATCTTTTTTTGTTTGTTTTTGGTGTGTTTTAAAATCAGTTGAATTCCATTCATTCCAAGACTTTAAACAGAGGCCGAAATGCCCCACCTTTCTCCACTTCGTCTAGTTGTTGCTGCTGGAAAGTAGACTACTCTTAACTGGAAATACAGTAATAAGTGTGGGAGCGATGTTGCAATATGTGTAGAAGAGGAGAGTTACCATACCTGAGTCTTGATGTTAATACCAGTGTGACAAGACACATTTTCTTATGGTTTGTGTGGCTGGCTTCGTTCAGAAAAATACTTTAAATCCTTTTTAATGGTAAAATCGTAGTATGTGAAATATGTTAATGGCATCTCAAGTTACTTTGTTAGTGGGCTGAGTTGGGAAGGATGGTACTATAAGAAAGGTGTAAAACATAGTTAATTGTTTCTATGCAGGATAAAGTAGGGCAAAGTTTGATCTTAGTGGGATCAAAAATAACAACTTTTGGAAGGTAAAGATAAGTCTCAGTCCAAGAATATCTTCTTGAAAAGGCTGGGATCTGGCTAATATGCCTAATTTGGCACAGAGGAAGAGACACTCATGTACCAGGCACTGTCCCTTAGTAACTTGGCATGTCTTTCTATCAGCAGCTGATACTTGGATTTTCCAGACCAGTCCTCTTTGCTCTCAGTATTAACAAATGCATTACCACCTAACCTGTGAAGCCAGGTTAGCTCAGGGACCCTTTTGCGTGGCTGCCATTGCTTCATCTGTGCTTGCTTTTTTCCCAGGGTGCCTTACATGGTTATAAAGCTGAAGGCATGGTTTTTACTGCCCTCTGAAGAGTGGTTTGCTTATAATGGCTTTTCTCAGCTTGTTTTTCCTCTTCCCCTCTCCACCCCCAAGTTATTTGTTGTTTAAAGACAACGCTGTTTAAAGACTCTATAGACAAGATGCCTGTATCCTGTTCAGTAGAACTATGGTCAGGTCCATGGTGAAATTACCCTTCGATGTGGTAGGGAGTCAATCCTTCACAAATGTATGGTGCAGCCTTTGGCTGTTGAATCGGAGATACTCCCATCTCCCAGTTAATGTATTCTCACTTTGGCTAAACTACCAAGTTGCTGCATTAATTGCAGTGGTAATTGGCAGTCAGGATCTTAATAAAGTAATATTTTTCTCTCACCCCCTTCTTTAGACCTGTTATTGTGAAGCTTTTAAGCAAATTATTTCTCCAGTGCTTTTTCCTCTTCAGTTGTTTAAAAATGGGCTTCTGTGCTACTTTCTGCCTAATGCCAGCCTCATCAGTTGTATTCTGTTTTCATGTGTTAGATGTCATAGAACTTGCTAATGTTATTTGCATATAACCACTTAATAAAAAGCCTATATTAGAAAAAAAAAATTATAAGGCTTCAAGCAAACTGTCTATTGGTGAGGGAAGTACCTTGCCCTGTATTACGGACCTTAGCAGAAGAAGTTGCTTGAGGATTTTTTTTATAGCGTAAACATGCCTTTGCTGATGATCTGATCAAGATCTACATGGAAGAGAGATTAACCCAGGTTGATACGTTTTGGTTTAAACACCAACTTTTTGGTCCAGTAAAACTACAAAGTGTCTCCCATAATGGACAATCACTTCCACAAATGTTCTCCTCCTTGGTGGGACTGGCTAGTCATGCAGGGGTAGATCCAGGAGGACACATGCTTCTGTCTGGCAGCGATTGGTTTATTTATTGCCTTGATCTTAGAATGACAGTCTTGAAAAACTTATTTTTGAATGACACCGTTTTTTTGTTATTTCCCTTAACTTATTTTTCTGTTAAGATATTTGAATTTTCTCCCAGAAACTTTTTAGAAGCTTTTTATTTAAAAAAAAAAAAAAGAGGCTTTTTGAGAGCTTAATAGTACATTCTGGGAGACTGTTCTTATTTAATTTTTTTTTAAATGAATGGTTTGATGCTATTCTCTGCCAAAGTTTAGGGACTTTTTTGTTGTTTTTGTAATTTTTCCCGTTAGCTTTTACTAATACCCGAAAGGAAACAGTGTGAGATTGTAAGAAATTAAAATGGCCTTCAGCATACTGCTTGTGTAATCTTCTACTTTTCCACTTCTGTGTTCCCTTTTCCACCCTAATCCCAGAAGGGCCAGCATGAGACTTCTGATACAAGTCATGAGTACTGTAACTGAGTAGTGAAAAAGATTTCCCACAAGGTTACAGTGGAGTGGGCAGAGCCATCAATGGATCTCTGTGCGAACACTTAAAGCAGAAGATGCTTACAACTTTAAAACGTACAGCTTTATTTTTTTTATATATATATATTTTTTAAATCCTAAGATAAAGGAGGTGTTGGGAGATGCTCCCTTTCAGAGAACAGGATACATGGAAGAAGTTGGAGTTGCCAAGCTCTGGCTTTCTTGAGGAAATCTTTGGATTTAGCATGTATAGCGAAGCAAAAATACTCATCTGTTAATTTGGTATTCTGTATGTTCTGTGCCCTTAAATGTAATTGTTTTGAAAATAAAACTAACCTTGTTATGTGATGTTAAAAAGCAGACTTGTGTGCAATGTTTTAAATTTTTTTTTTAAGAAAATGTTTGTATATAATTAAATGGTTTAATGTGCTTTAATTGGCCTAAGGTAAAGAGTAGTCCTAGAATGTAAACATATATAATTAGGATTTCTGATTTCACTGTGAGATCTCTGAACTCTTGTTTTGCAAAGTGGTTTGTTTTGTTTACAAAACACTTTCTATTATTTCTTTTATGGTGTTGGTTTAAAGGCATTTGCTTCACTTCTGTTCTAATATTGAATTCATGGTATAGTGACATCTGGTGACACTTAGCATTATCAGTTTCACTGTGTAAAGTCAAGACACTTTGAGCAAAAATGGTAATGATATGACAATTCTCTGTGTCTATGAATACACGTTTTTAAATGAGGTGGTTATAAAAATAGTTGCTGTGCAAAATGTTAGTAGTCTTCTTCAAGAAGAAAGCAAATTTTCTAATATCACTAGAGCAGTCTCTTCATTTATCTTATTTTTAAAGCACAGTGTCAAAGTGATGCTGCTTTACCTTGTATCTCCGATATAATGTTTTTTTAGATATCTGTGAAGTATTTTTGTTTTTGTTGCTGTTGTATTTTTCTGCAGATTTTATATAAAATACCAGTTAATGAATTGCCTTTTTGTTTTTTTTAACTATTCAACTAAAATACATTTCAGACCAAAACCAAATGATATCATATAGCATTTGAAACCTGCCTTTTTCCTTGTGTCCCCCCACTCCCCTTTTTTTTTTTTTTTTTTTTTTTGAAATAAGCCAAATGGGCATGTAGATAAGATCACTATAATGGATCCAGGTCTCTTTTGGTAAAGTGTTATTTAAAGGTCTGTTAAGATCTTATAAGACAATATACTGAAAAAAAATTATTGTAGTAGGAATATAGATTTAGAAGTGTTAATGAGATTAATACAGCTTAATTATATTGTAAGTTGCTACTGTCCATAATGACAAGCTTTTTGTCATAGAAACGATGTATGATAAATTAATTTTGGTCTAGTGTATAGAATTATCATATTGCTATAAATCTTTGAAGTAAATCTGATGCAAAATTTTCATAGTTAGCATTGCTGGCCCTGTGTATACTGTTCTTTGTATACTGTATGCATATTATTTTGCCTACTGCATTAGTCTTCAAACTAAAACTCTTATTAGAGAGTATTTGGATACTTCAGACTGTGTTTCTTGCAGTTTACATTCCTTTACCATGGCATTTTGTCCTGTCTAAAAGTATTGTATGGAAATGTTTAAAACTTCTGTACAAAGTTTCAATAAAAATAGAGGAAAAAAAAAAAACAACCCACAACAACAGAACAGATATTTGTGAAGCTGTTTTGGAGAACCTGTCCATAATTATATGTATTCTTACTTGTAGTAATCCTTGCATCCCTATACATAATGATACTTCCCTTTTTTCCCCATTATTACAAGGCAGACCTATTGAAGGAGGGTGTGGGCATTTGGTTAGAGAAGTAAAAAACCCTTAATTAGATTGTTTAAAACTGCAAGAATAATTTAAGAATACAAAATTTGGGTGCAGTTTGGCTGCAAAAACTTCAGGCCAACTCACGTTGTGGGGAGGTGGGGCTGAGGTGGTCTAGACTGGACTGATCTTTCTGTGACCTGAAGCTCAGGATGTTGGCAGGACAAGGCGAGCTGCCCGAAGCATCTTGCAGAGCAGCAGCTTGCATTCAGAACAAAGTATGGGTGAAGCCTCCTTTAGCAGGGTGGCCTTGTTGCTTATTGTGTAAAATCGTGATGATTTTTTTTTTTTTAAATACCTACAGTTGTGCTTTGCTGTCACTCTGGGACTGCCCTAGCCTTGATGCCTTGGTGTCTGTTTATCTCTGACTGTGATCTAGAAATCAGTCCTGGTGCCCAAATCCTCTAAAGAGCCCATTCCAGCAGTTGTGCGCTGAGAATGATGCATGTGATGCTGTCTTCTCCCTTGAAGGAAGCAGTTAACAGCTTGTGGTAGCCAGTGCTTAGATAGTTGCCTTCAGGAAGAGAAGAATACCTTCTCACAATTTTTATTTGAAAAAGATCAAAACATCAACACGGTTCTGTAAGCAGATACTGGAGTCTTCCACTTCCTTCTCCCCCTCATCCCTGTACCCCTCTATAGACATGTTTGAACTAATAGCTGTGGAAAGCATGGTGTGAATCATGACTTCTTCGTTGTCCAGTGATGATGGTTCAGCAAGGAGGGGTCAGGCCTGGTGTTTAATCACCTGTAGATTGGGGATTAAGGTTTAGAGACAGTTTGTTGGCAAAAACTCTGAGAAGGACACTAAACTCCGATTTTTCAGCTGCAGAGGAAATGCTGCATTCATCAAAATTATTCTTGGTATTCTTTTGCTGCTGTGTTGTAGAAGGAAAGTGGAAGCGTTGCTGTTGTTTATTGAGGGAATGGATAAAAAAACACTTGGAGAGGAAGCTTTGGATTTGGAATGAAAAAAAAAAAAAGTTTCCTGCCTGCAGACTTGGTTTGGGTTTGTGATTTCTGGGAGGGAGTGGGACTCCTGTGTTTTCATTAGTTAGCTGTTAATTGGTTATCTAATTAGTTTATTAGGTGATTATTCATTAAGCAGCTGTCCATGGATTTTAAGAGAGGTTCAAAGAAGCCTCTGTCACCAGCTGGTTCCATTTGTATTAGTCAGCAAAGACTGTCAATCTCCAGTTTACTGATGTTTAAGACTTTAGTGTTTCTTTGGGTATGGAGTCCTGGCCCAGGCAAGTTGTAGGCAGGTTCAATAAATGCTGCAGCAGCATTTATTTTGAGGGTTCACTGGAAAAACCCAAGGAGATGGTGGTAATGAGTACTCTTTGCCTACTGGCTCTGAAGTGATTTCTCCCTCCTTGGATGTGGCTGTCCCAGTTTGCCCTGTGCATGTTCTCATGCCAGGAAAGTGAACCAGCCAGGAGGTTTCAGCTCTGTGCTTTCTTCCTGCCTGTCTAGCAAACATGTTTAATCAACTTGTACTTTGTGATTTGCTTTTTTGATGTTTTTTTTGAGGTGTTTGTAGACTGATAGGAATAAGGTGACAATTTGACTGCATGGTCATGACGTTTAGAACCCTTTAATTTGTCAGCAACTATTTTTAATACTTATCTGAGCCGTGAAACCAGTTTTGTAAGTTAGCTTTGAGTATCCCAGTATATATGCTGTAGCATACAGGAGAATTTAAGCAAGAAGTTGCCAAGGTTTGCTGTCACTTGTGCGTATCAGTTGGTGAAAACAGTGTGACTTCCACCTTAAACACTGTTCAGATTCAGAGCCAAAGATAGTTACTTTTCTGCAAAAGCATGAGGATTTGAAAATTATGGCTATGGTCCTCACAGACTCTTTGGGAATTTTTTTTACTAACCAGATTCAGCTTTTTTGTAGTCCTGACTCCTCTTTGTTCTGTGGCAGTGAGGATGTGATGGTGGGTGTCACAACTGTGGGTTAAGAACCAGATCTCTAGTCCTTGAAAGATTTCTTATAGAAGGGAGATCTTCAGTGGCTTAGATTAATCTGGTTGGTGCTGGTGGTACACCCTAGGTCTAGAGTGTTGGGGACTTGTTTGGAATATATCCTGACACCCAGCTGCTACAATGGATTGTTTCGACAGTTGCAGGTATTTTTTCCAAGGCTGGACTATTGCTGGCACTCCAAGGCTAGAAGCCTTCAACTTGGAGAATTTGAAAATTAACTGTGTTTGGCCTTTGCAACTGTGACTCAACCAAAGTAGTGTTTGTCTTCTGGAAGCCACTCAGTGCCCATTTCCTTTGACACTGCACAGATTTCTCCCAGTTACAGAGGTATGAAAGCTGGTTTGAAAAATGCTGAATATGCCCAGAGCAATTAGACTGGAAGAACCTCTATGGGTTCAGAGCTGCCTGCATATGTGTCATGTCAGACAGCGAGCTGTTCCCTGCGGGAAAAGCATCAGGCTCAATATCGTGTGGCAAGGGGGCAGCTTGGGTTGTGAGCTCTGATCATGTTGTGTACCATTTGCAACACACTGAAGCCCTTCTTCTTGAAAATACCACTGATTTTGTCCTTGAGCCATCCAGGGAAGCAAACAGTAACAGCAGCAGTGTGACAATGGTTTGATTTGCGTCCCTTCCCCAAGTTGCAGAGAAGTTAATGAATGGAGTACCGTCATAACAACACATGTGGGACAACCAGGGGATCAGGCCCAGTCAGCATGGGTGTATGAAAGGCAGGTCCTGCCTGACAAACCTGATCTCCTTCTACGACAGGGCGACCTGCTTCTTGGATGAGGGAAAGGCTGTAGATGTTGTCTACCTTGACGTTAGTAAGGCCTTTGACACCATTTCCCACAGCATTCTCCTGGTAAAACTGGCTGCTCGAGGCTTGGATGGGCACACGCTTTGCTGGGTAAAAATCTGTCTGGATGGCCGGGCCCAGAGAGTGGTGGTGAACGGAGTTAAATCCAGTTGGTGGCCGGTCACGAGTGGTGTCCCCCAGGGCTGGGTTTTGGGGTCACTCCTGTTTAACATCTTCATTGATGACCTAGAGGAGGGCATCGAGTGCACCCTCAGTCAGTTTGCAGATGACACCAAGCTGGGTGGGAGTGTTGATGTGCTCGAGGGTAGGGAGGCTCTGCAGAGAGACCTGGACAGGCTGGAGCCATGGGCTGGGCCCAACTGGAGGAGTTTCCATAAGGCCAAATGCCGGGGGCTGCCCTTGGGCCACAACAACCCCCAGCAGCGCTACAGGCTTGGGGAGGAGTGGCTGGAGAGCTGCCAGTCAGAGAGGGACCTGGGGGTGTTGATTGACAGCCGAAACAGGAGCCAGCAGTGTGCCCAGGTGGCCAAGAAGGCCAATGGCATCCTGGCTTGTGTCAGCAATAGCGTGGCCAGCAGGGACAGGGAAGGGATCTTGCCCCTGTACTCGGCACTGGTGAGGCCGCCCCTCGATTCCTGTGTTCAGTTTTGGGCCCCTCACTACAAAAAGGACATTGAATGACTCGAGCGTGTCCAGAGAAGGGCAACGGAGCTGGTGCAGGGTCTGGAGCACGGGTCGTACGAGGAGCAGCTGAGGGAACTGGGGGTGTTTAGTCTGGAGAAGAGGAGGCTGAGGGGAGACCTCATCGCCCTCTACAGCTACCTGAGAGGAGGTTGCAGAGAGCTGGGGATGAGTCTCTTTAACCAAGTAATAAGCGATAGGACAAGAGGTAATGGCCTCAAGTTGCACCAGGGAAGATTTATACTAGATATTAGGAAGTGTTTCTTTCCAGAAGGGCTTGTTAGGCGTTGGAATGGGCTGCCCAGGGAGGTGGTGGATTCCCCATCCCTGGAGGGGATTAAGAGTTGGATTGACACAGTGCTGAGGGATGTGGTGTAGTTGGGAATGGTCAGTGTTAGGTCCGTGGTTGGACTGGATGATCTTCAGGGTCTTTTCCAACCTCGATGATGCTGTGATTCTGAGGTGCCACACAGCTGAAGGAGTGATTAGCTCTGTGTTCAGGCAGCCTTTTCCTTTCAAACACTTGGGGCAAGGGGATGGTGGGCTTCAGCTTGCCTTGGAAATAAGCAACCATCACTTTTGGACCATTTCTGTCAGTGCCTGTAAGTTTTACAAGCTGGTGTTAATTATGTGGGTGAATAGAAAGCTTAAAATAAGTTAGAGAGAAAATAATAGGGGAGCCATACACGCAGTGTGTGGAGATGGGCACAAGGCTGTGTTAGAGAGGAGAGATTGAAAGAGCGAGCTTATTTGAGAGAAGAGATACCTTAT